TTGACGCAGTGAGTGTCCGAGAAACCGCGATCACTGTCAGACAATATGCTGATTCATCAACAGTATTCCTTCTTCGTCATCCGTGATGCAATCTTACTTCGCCAACCAGTCCTGTGATCCCTTCACAGACAGGTCCATTCCTTGCACTCTGGGTAACTATGTCAGCTACGCCGTTGATGTCAAGTGCACCGCGGATGTGAGCTATGCTCTCAAGTTTGCCAAGGCGAACAACCTTCGCGTCGTTGTTCGCAACACTGGACATGAGTAAGCAACATTCTTACGGATTCGTATGCTGTGACCTTGCAACAGCCGCTGACTATGTCCAAAGCTTCCTTGGCCGTTCTACTGGTGCCGGAGCCCTGGCTATCTGGACCAACCACCTCAAGACCATTGACTTCACCACCTGGTCCGACAAGTACTACTCGGGTCCCGCTGTCAACGTCGGAGCCGGTGTTCTCGGATACGAGATGCTTGAGGCTGCCCACGCCAAGGGCCTCACTGTTGTGTCCGGTGAGTGTGCCACAGTCGGTCTTGCTGGTGGCTTCATCCAAGGCGGCGGACACTCCGCGTTGAGCACTCAATTCGGCCTGGGTGCGGACCAGACTCTTGCTTTCCAGGTTGTTACGGCAGACGGCAAGACTGTCGTTGCGTCCGCGACTCAAAACACCGATCTATACTGGGCTCTCAGTGGAGGCGGCGGCGGCACCTTTGGTGTTGTGACTGGCCTCACCGTCCGCGCTTACCAGGCAGAGACTGTTGGAGGGGCTGCTTTCCAGCTTCTTGCTGCTACAACCACTCCGGAGAAGTTCAACGCCGCTGTTTCCAAGTTCCATGAGCTGCTGCCTAACATGACGGACAATGGCGCCTTTGTCGTTTTCCTTCACAACTCTCAGTTCCTGGTTTTGCGACCACTGACCGTGTGGAACTCCACTGCTGCCTACGTTCGCGATGTCGTTCTGGCACCGTTCACGAAAGCCATGGAGGAAATCGGTGTCACTCTGGCGGTGGCCTACAGCGAGCTGTCCTACCGTGATCACTACGACCGGTACATGGGTCCTCTCCCTCAGGGCAACCTCGAGGTGACGAGGTACCAGTTTGGCGGCCGACTCATCCCGCGCACTGTGCTTGAGACCAACAACGTCGAGTACCAGAAGGTCGTCAACAACCTCACAGCCAACGGCGTTCTCCTCGCAGGTAGCGTCGGCCACTACGACAAGCCAGCGGGTGCCGCTAGCAACGCTGTGCACCCCGCGTGGCGCAAAGCCGTCATGCAGCTGCAGCTCATCACCAACTGGGACAACGCTGCGCCTTGGGTTGACATGGAGGCTTCACAAAGGCGCATGACGGAGGAGTTTATGCCACTGATTACCTCTGTGACTCCCGGAAGCGCGTCGTACATGAACGAGGCAGACTTCAGACAACCTGACTGGCAAGACGCCTTCTTTGGCGAGAACTACAGCAAGCTTCTCTCTATCAAGAAGAAGTATGATCCTGAGTCGCTGTTCTACGTCCTGAAGGGCGTCGGCAGTGAGGCATGGACTGTTGGTTCTGACGGCAGGATGTGCCGCGCTTAAGAGTTTCGAGAACAAGACGTAACCTAATTAATATATAAACATAATGCTCCTCTACAAAACCTTGGAAGTTGTCATCCAACTTACCTTTAAACTTCACTTGTTATCATCTGAAGCTTACTGGGCTTCCCAAGCGTTGTACTTTCGACGACATCATACCCTACTTTGCCCGAAGGTAGACACGGCCGCTCGTATAATCGCATCACTGGTCAAGCCGCACTCTTTGCCACAATAATCTTGGCTCGATTGCATGCTTGGCTCTAAAATGTGATTCAATAATATTTGAGGATTTTTCTTGATCCCATCGATGGTTCGACAATGCTTTCGCCGGTGAAAGCTCACTCGCAGCAACGGGACGGCTCGTCGCTGCCGATCAGTTGCGGCAAAGAAGCATGATTACGAGGCATGCGTGGGTAAGCGGGTATCCGGCCACCCTGATTTGTGCGGTCTGCTGCAAAACGGCCCCTTCTCCTCTTTCTCACAATTTTGTGGTCCTCGGCCATGCATGAACTCATGGCCGTTGGACCAACAGCCATGTCGCAACAGGGGACTTGCGGGCGTACCTTCCCTAAATCGCAAGAAAGTCGTGGTACTTGTGCGAATGCCCACTTCATTCGAGATCGTCATGCAGGAAAAGGTTCTTTCGTGATTGGATAGGTGTCACCTTCGCCCAGCGATAGTGAGGGGTTACTTAGCGTGGACAAGAAGAAAATGTACATAAATGGGTGCTCAGTGCTGCTGTTATTTTTGGCTGTAGATCTCGGGTGTTGAATAACTACCTCGAATCAACAGGAGCAAGTATGCAAGACCCAATGCTAGTTGTTGGCTTCATAGCCATACTCTGCGTCATTTACGTGGCAGATAGGCTGGTTCAATGGAGACGAAATGCAAATCTTGCTCCCCTTCCCCCTGGACCCAAGGGACTTCCGTTAGTAGGGAACTTACGTGACTTGCCTGAACCTGGCGTTCTGGAGGCAGAACATTGGGCGAAGCTTGCCGAGTATGGTAAGCTTGCGTATATCCGACTGCTGCGTATATGCAAAGTTTGCGTGCAGTAGCTGAGCGGACTCTTGCTAAGATGAGATGGCCATGGATAGGTCCTATCAGTTCGATTACTATCATGGGCAATACCCTCATTTTCGTCAATGATGCTCAGATGGCTATTGACATGTTGGACAAACGGGCAACATACTCTTCAAGGGCGGTATTCAATTTCGCCGGCGACATGTGCGTACATTCGAAATCGTTTTTAAGCATAGGTTGTAGACTGACACGTCACCAGCATTGGCTGGAGCAAAACGACCGCGGCATTGAAGTACAACAACACATTGCGTGCGCATCGCAAGAACTTCGCACGTATCATGGGGACAAAGGCACTTGCTTCACAATATCACAGCTTGCAGGAAGCTGAAGTTGCCTACTTCCTTCAGCACGTTCTTGACAACCCCGAAAGTCTGAGAGACCACATCAAGAGGTGTGTTGACGAATTCGCCGACAAAATCCACTAGAAGCAGCTTACTGATTTGTCTAACGACAGGCAAGCCGGCTCTATTATCCTGAAGGTTGTCTATGGCTACAACGCTGAGCAAGAAAAGAGAGATCCGCTTATTGACATGATCCAACAATGTACCGAGGATTTATCCAGCTCGGGTGTCCCAGGCGCCTTTCTGGTCGACATTCTCCCAAGCCGTAAGTTATCAATCCATTATCTCAACAATATTAGATATCTTCGTATGCACTGCATTTGAAGGAGATTCTGACAACCTCAAGTTCGCTATGTGCCAGATTGGGTTCCCGGAACAGGTTGGAAGAAGCTGGCTCGAAAGTGGGCATATGAGCTCAACCTTGCAATCGAGACGCCCTTCGCATTCGTGCAGCGGCAGCTAGCCGAAGGAAGGGAAAACAACTCATTTGTGGCGAATCTGCTCAAGAACAGTGAGAATACTGCCGAGGACGCACGCGAGATCAAGTGGGGGTCATCTTCTCTGTACAGTGGAGGTGCCGATACGGTAGGAAGAGCTTCTCCTCGTTCCCAAGTATATCTAAGCTAACTAATGGGCTGAAGACTGTGTCGACTGTCGCATGTTTCTTCTTGGCCATGACAATGTTCCCCGAAGTTCAAGCCAAGGCGCAGCAGGAGATTGATCGGGTGGTGGGCACTGAGCGCCTACCTACCCTGGAAGACCGAGGCTCTCTGCCATATATTGAAGCTATTATGAAGGAGACTCTTCGATGGCATTCAGTAGTTCCCACCGCTCTTCCCCACACTGCAGACGAGGATACTGTCTATGCTGGATACCGCATTCCAAAGGACACAATGATCATGCCCAATGTTTGGTGAGTGGTTATTGAAATGGCACGCTTGATCAAAGACTGACCCTATTCTCGCAATCGCAGGTGGTTTACCCACGATCCCAGTATCTACCCAGAGCCTAATGAGTTCCGGCCCGAAAGATATTTGGAAAGCCCTGGGCACGAGCCTGAAACCGACCCTCGTAAATTCGTCTTTGGCTTTGGTCGACGAATTTGCGCTGGCAAGACCTTCGCCGAGAACACGTTGTTCCTCGATTTTGTGCAGTCTCTGGCTGTATTCAACATTCGAAAAAAGTCCGTTGATGGCCATATCATTGAGCCACAGATGAAGAGTCTTCCCGGTGCAATCAGTCATTTGGCGCCGTACGAGACGTGTGTGGAGGCACGGTCTCCTCACCACGAGAAGATGATTCGTGCTCTGAAACATAAGTACCCGTGGCAGGAGTCGGATGGGGAGACGCTGAAAAGAATTGGAACCCCGAAGACGGATCCCGTTATGATTTGATTGACGGCGTGGAAGTTTATGCGGCCAGGAGATGAACGGAGATTCCTCTGAGAGTTCACTCTCGTTGCATGGTCTCATTGAGTCTCGTCAAGTTGTTGGCTGCCAATCTTTGGCTGAGTAATCCTGGAACTCAAACATCCCTTAAGTGCTTTATTCAATACAGAACTGCAACATCAAACGACGACACTGTTGCATCGGGCTACTCGTAGAAGATGATAGGCGCCCGCAAACTCCCACGAACTAAATGGGTAACATAGATGGCTGAAACATATGCAGTACCCTTATTCATGGCTTCTGTACATGATAGCCTCAAGTTGAATAAGTTGTACGAAATGACAGAGAGAAGAACTAGTGCGGGTTTATCTTGCATCTCATACCGCGATTCTTCCAGTGAAAAAAAAAAAAAAGGCTTGGCGTAAGTAGGTACGACGCTACTGCCTATCAGAGAGTGACCACCAATTCTCTGTGCCAAGGATGTGGCACAGCACAAATCGCATGATGACATGTTGGTACGGCAAGGCTGCGTCGTCATGAAATCCTTGTTTTGCTATCGTCATCTTCAATTGTCCATCCGTGTCCGACGCCATCGCTAGGGAACGACGCCGCACAGCATGGCACTAGCTTTGCGGAGTGCATTTCCCCTGAAGACGGAGATCCGCCTGGCCCAAGCGGTCTCCGAGTTCGAGGCTGGTCTCGACACCCGGCAAAAGGCGGCGTTCAGGACCACCAGGTCGACGGCTCGGACGAACCCGCCGGCATTGAAAGATGTGATGCAGGTCACTGCTGAGATAGACCGACAAGCACACGAAAAGAATAAAGCGTCCCGATCATTTGGTCCCAGATTCACGAACATGCTTCAATCGGTACAGCAATACGCCGCTTTAGGAGACGTCGTCGTGGGCGGTTCTCAGAACTTGATTGCTTGTGGCGTGTGGGCGGCAGTTCGTATGATACTTCAGGCAAGCATTCACATTCAACATCAAAACTAAGCTCATACTGACATACTCTTAGATGTCTTTGGGGCATTTGTCATTTCTTGAAAAGCTTTCTGAGCTGTTCATGGAGGCTGGACGCCAGGCTCCCCGTCATAACGCAATGGCACTCATCTATCCAAAGTCAAAGGCGTTGCAGAACTATTTGTGCGAATACTACATCGCAGTTGTGGAAATATGCCAGCAAATCCAAAACTTCAATCGCAAGTCCCTCTTAGGCCGGATGGTGTCTGCCCTAGACAATTCAGAGTTGAAGCGGCTTCAGTCGAACCTATCGAAATGGTCAACTTCAATCTCAGGGCTGGTTGAAGTCCTGCTCAACGAGAATATGATGAACGAAAGAAAGCAGTCCTCTAGAACAATAGAGCTTCTCAGCAAATGGTCCGACTCCGAGGTTTATCAAAGACGTCTCAAGACCAAGGCCCGGTGGCTCGATGCTTGCTCAACGTACGAATATCAGACAACTTGGAAGCAAACCCGGAAGAAGGGTACCTCGTCACTATTTTCAGCTTGGAAGGAGTACCAATCATGGAAACATGACCCCAACTCTTCCGCAATGCTGGTAAGCGGGAAAGTAGGTGCTGGCAAGTCAGTCACAATGGCAAATATTGTGGACGATCTCAATATCGATAAAGAGTCAACGGTAGTCTACTTTTTCTGCCGCCATGACCTCCCTGAAAGCCTCAAGTGCCGAACGATCTTAGGCAGTCTTGCCCGGCAGTGTCTAGACCAACTCCCTGTCGGAAGTCAGCCTTTTGCGGACGATATACCCTTACTTGACACTTTCGCAATGACGGAATTGATGATGTCATCAATCAATATGAGCAAAACATACGTTATTGTGGATGGTCTAGACGAATGTTCCATTGAGGAACGATGCAGTCTTCTTCAGTGTATTGCCTCATTGCAGAACACGCCCAGTTGGCACCTTGCATTTTCAGCAAGACTGTCAGCAGAGGACGTCCTTGGCGCTGAAATCAAACTTAAATGGCGCATCACAATGCCGAATAGAAATCCTGATATCGAGAGATATATCGATACAGAGCTCAGTAGACGTAAGTATACTGGAGAGCTTGTTACGGACGACGCTCGGCTTACGGAGGAGATTCGAGAAGCCCTCCTCAAAGGATCTAACGGAATGTGAGTCTCTGCTGAAGTCTTACCACCCATCATCGTTCCCCCTCAGATTCAACAACATAATATGCCCTTCAGCATAAACTGTGACACAGGTATATTCAGGGTGCTTGTTGTTGCTTTATCTGTTTCATTGATCATTGATCATTAGGCGTTAGTCGCCTTCAAAACATTCAACGAACTATGTCTTAGGATAGTTCGTCGATGCCTAGATATTGACACTAGACAGGTTTCTCTGGGTTTCGTTGCAGCTGAACGCTGTGTGTTCTGAAGTATCTGATCACGACATTCGCGAAGCTCTCGGGTCTCTCCCCAAAGATCTGAACGAAACTTACGCCCGCATACTGAAGAATTCCGCACGACTAGATCACAGGAATCGTCACGTAAGGCTGTTCAAGTTCATTACCGCTGCGTTCGAGCCCCTAGATCTCAACCAAATGCGAGACATCATGAGCGTCACAGTTGGCGACATATCGTGGGACCCCAGTAAACTCATCAATGACATCATGAGCATTCTCAAGTTTTGCGGCAGCCTAGTCATGATCGACGAAGAAGAATATACCGTCAGATTCGTTCATCACACGGCACGAAGTTTCTGCTTAGGATCCTTGGGCACTAGTCTGTACAGGACATTGCCGTTCACGGAAATAGAGGCGCACCGAGCCCTAGGGGAGGCTACTCTGACTTACTTGAACTATGGGATTTTCGACAAGCAACTATCGACTCGCGTCGTTCCTAACATTGATGCTCGAAGACTTCCAGAGCAAATTGCACGTCAAACCATGAGAAGCTCACGCCTAGCCAGCAATCTCTTCCAGAAAAAGCTTGGACGACCTCGGGATATCGGCCAAATTCTGGCGAATTTGGGCTCTGGCCCTACGACTGGTAATCGAAGCCAAGACCAACATCCCTTTTATTGCTACGCCGAACGCTTTTGGCTCCTTCAATCGAGACACGTTTGCGGGTCGAACATGCGTGGACTCTGGGATCGCTTGATGCAAAGTTCGTATGCATCAAACCTCCCGGTCTTCAGCTTTACTCCACATTTGCCCGGTCTCCTAGACACGGCTTCAGCCAAAAGCTCTGCACCAGACATTCCAAGTATAATTTGGGCGTTGAACTATTCCCATGTATTCTTGTTCGACCACGCCATGGCCTCCAAGACGAATGACAGCCTGTCCGCTCGGTCATTGATACGTCGACTTATTCTCTTCCGCAAATACCTGAAGACTTTGGCAACACAATCTGTCGAATTCATCTGTTTGAACATAGTGCCGGAAATGACATGGCGTCTGCTCCATATCGCCATTGAACTGAGAGCATATGACGCTGTCCACAGAATTGTTCAATGGTGTTCGGCGGATCTCGTTTTCTCCAAGGAAGAGAAACTCAAAACGCCATTGTCCTTTTCGGATCGATCACGGGATGTTAGGCTTCGGAAAGCTGTACTGCATCTGGTCCAGCACGTTACACTGACCAGGGAAGTCCAAATGCTCCGTCTTCTGATCAAAGAAAGACTCGGCTCAGCGGAAGACAACATTCGCATGATAAAAGCCTTTCTAAGGTCCAGCGTGACACATGAGGTCTTGTTACGGGCGTGTTTTATTTTTACCCAAGCTGGCTCTCATATGAAGATCAACTTGGGGTATGAAATATGCCACCACCTCACGACCAGTGCTGAGTTGGACGATTGTCTGATTTCTTCCGCCATCAGGGAAATGCTTTATAAGGTTGATTCAGCGTCAAACTTCATCTACCGCGTGTTTCGTCAAGCCTGTGCGAAGGGAAATTTGAAGCTGGCTTCATTGTCATGGCCGAGCAAGGTCAATCTCGCGGTGCCGGACCACCCAAGCCACCATTTTATTGGGGACGAGATTGAGCTAGTACTGCAAACTTTGTCTCAGAGCAGATCCGTCATAGCTCATAAACTCCTAGACGACGAAGAATTTTCAGAACGTCTTTTGCCTGGCTCTGCCCTCAATAGAGCAGTTGTCCTCAAGCACTGGAGGTTGGCGGAACGCCTGATAAGTCAAGGGGGAGACCCACGGTCATTGATCAATCTTTGCAGTTGGAACGAAGTGCTTCATCATTGTGTTCTGGCGGTTGACGTTGATGGTCTCGATTTCCTGATTCATATTGGCATGGACGTCAACAAGATCTCGACCGGCCCAACCTTCTCTGGCTGCACACCTGCCGAGGTTCTGGCACCAGCTTCATTCTGGAGTCGATACCATCCTTTTGGAGACCTAATCATCCCAGGAGTAAGACCTGGAGGATGTTCCAGCGGAAACTTGGATTCTATTACAGGATCTGATAAACAGCATATCTCGGAAGACTTCGAAGTCAGCCACAGTTCAGAAACAGACGTGATCAGTTTGCCACGGTTCTATGGGTCATCACAAGGGGCCGTGGAGTCTGACAGCTCCTGGGTCGGTAAGCTCGCGTTCATAATCGCGGCTACCATGCAAAGAGCCGTCGGGCCATACTTTGAGCCCGCTACAAACCCAAGCCAGCAAGACGGTCAAAATATCACGAAGTGTCTTGGACATATCTCGGAACTCGCCATATATATTAACAGTGCCTTCGCACGCACTGGACCATCTCCCTCCAACTACTGCGAAATCTTATGGTCCCTCGAGAAGATTCTTGGCACCATCGAACATCTGTCTCAGCCCCCAATACAGGACTGGCGAACATCTCCTGATCCTAAACGGTTCATGGTGCAAACAATGTTGTTCAAAGTAGTTGATGCCATCTTAGGGGGTACAATGTGTATCGATATGGAACATGCCGGGACCGAATTTGGGACGATCTGGGATGAATTTTGCACTATTTTGCAACGACGACCCCCAGGCAATCGCACATTCAGCTTCAGGTCTAATTCTACCGCAAAGAGTATTAAGGTTCGCCGCGATTTGCAAATTACACGACGCGAGGGGAGCTTTCCATGGATGATGCAATGCATCCTTCTTCTGACGAATGACCACTCGCCCAGTACACTGAAGAGCCACGTCGCAAGCACCCGGGACGAGTGGCCTCATCCTCAAGTTGCGAATGCTTCTAGCTCGTCGCGTTCGTTGAGGAACGAGATGCGGGGGTCACTAGGTATTCTAAGAAAGCTGGGCTGTAGCGAGGCTGACGCCGAGTTTCTGTACGACAACTTTGGCAGATACTTCTAGCTTGGACGCCGGTTTCCATCCCCTCCATACCGATTTCTTTCTGTGGTTGTCGATTTTAATTCTGGAACATCTCCCGTTTTCTACTTGTTGTGTCGTCTCTGACCCGAATATCAGTGTAGACATTTGATCCTGTGTTTCCCATGATCATCTGAGTACCAATCGCAACAATTGAGGTTCTTCTTAACCAGGTGAAAGCGCGATCGCGCTCAAGACTTGGTGTTGCGTGGATTAGTTTATAATTCGTTCACCTTGCCTGTTTGACACTAGAAGGGAAGAAAGACTCTTTACCCACACCAGATCATAATGCGTACGTACGCATTCAGTTCTTGACAACAACCAGAACTATAAATATACAAATGCAAGTGCATGTAATCAAATCGTGTGAAGGTATGCCATGTGAAGCTGTACCACAGTATTGACTCGGGAATTTCACCGCAAGAAGTGGGCGCGTCGTACATCAGGATTACTTCTAATAAGGTAGGTGAAGGGAATCAGCAGGGGCGGTATGGTGACAGTCGCCTATCCGTTCTGCGGCTATTCATCACCAATTAGTCATGATGCAACACATACTTGCAGGAGAACTTACCCCTTCACAATAGACTCTCTCTCTACCTCTCTTTTATACGCTTTCCGTATCTCACCAGACACGTGATTATATTCCCGCTCGCCTGCCATGAGCCCGACGCCCTGCATCGGAGAGTTCCAAATCCGGTCGTTCACAGCTATGTACAGGGGAAATTGAAAAAAGGATTTGGGGACCGCATCGTCCGGACAATCATAGCGTCCCAGATTCTGCCACGACTGAACCACAAAGCCCCCGTGGTTCGCAATGATCGCATAATCAATCCCGCAGCGGCCGCAGCTGCCCGCCTTCTCCCTGCCCTTCACCCCGAACGCCTTCTTGAGGTCAGTGGCCAAGTCATTCCCGCCGTTGCTTATACTGCACAGGTGCTCGCAGAGCCGGAAGGGTTTAAAGTGTGCCAACTTCACCGCCCCCCGACCGCCTCCCTTCCGAGTCCCTATGAACTCGATCCTGGTGTGCAGAATGAACATCTCCGACGCGATCTTGGGCGTCGACTCCACCGCGACCCTGCGGTACTGCAGCTCCTTCGTACTGTCCACCACGGGCTTCTCCTCGACGCCCGTCAACAGGTTGCGCAGGCGTGCGCCCACCTCGTCCGCGCCCGCCGCTCCAGCCCGCAGCATCCGCGCCATCTTCAGCGCGCTCTCGACGTGCGAAATCTTCAACCCCAGCCCCGGCCGGCGCGGGCAGAGCGGCATGGGGCGGTCGCAGCGCCGGGTCCTCGGACGCGGCGGCGGATCGCCGGCCACGCGGTGCAGCCGGCCGCAGGGTATGCAGAGCCAGTGGTACGGCCGCGCGAAGGCGACGCCGGCGAGGAAGACCTCGATCGGAGTTTTACCGCGCAGGCCTGGCGAGTGGAAGGCGCGGTTGCAGGCGGCCTTGTCCATCCCGAACAGGCGCCGAGCGCGTCTGCAGGTTTCGGAGAAGAGGTAGCGATCGTGCAGCTCCAGGTGGACCGCGATCTCGTTGAGCATCTCGGGAGGGAGGCTCATGAGGCATGCGGGTTTCGTGTCGGGGAGTTGGGTATCTGCCATGGCTGGCTCTGTGTGGATGTCGTGCAGTTGATTCATCCTGACTTTGAAATGCTGTAAAATATTCGCGATGTGGTTGTCAACCCGGGAAAACAAGGGTTAGACTTTTCAACTATAGTAAGTAATAGATTCATCTTTTTTAAGAGCAGCCGGGTTTAAGTTCATGGATCGTTCACATCGTGGCGTTTCCACAACCACTTAGAAACTGTGGAAAGCACGGCGGGTTCACCTTGATGATCAACAACTCAAGCTTTTTCGCCAAATTCGTATGTCTCTGTAATGAAACAGTCTGTCGAATCGCTTCCCTTTTTCCTCTATGATACCAAATGAACTACAATTTGGCAATACAACACCTGCTCTTATGGCCATCATGTTGGCATCCCAGCCATTATGCCCAAGATCTCAAACCAGCTTGCCAGGCCACCTTGTCCCCGCTACAAATCTAAATGTCGACTTCCTCCCCTCTTAGCTTTTTTCAGTGGCAACTTAACATTCCAAGGCGTCTTGTGTAGGCAGCAAAAGGTAGCCTACAAGGACCAACTACCTATGCCTCAATTCTACTTAACCCCAGACGATTGGGTTCATAACCAGAGGCGTACGATATCTCCCTCACCAAGACCTCGAGAGACAACACAATAATAACCCTCTATACTCAGAAAATCCTTACCATTCATTTCTAATTCATCTCACCAGTTATTCATCCATGTACAAAACAACCCCATACCAACACAACATCTCTTTAAAAGCTATCAAAGACAATCAACTTATCACTATTGCCAACAACCTCGCCGTCTCCCGTCAGTAGACTCCCGAGAACCTGCGCAATCTTCCAATCTTTAACTCGCTTGCCAGTCTTCTTTCCCATAACGCAAGGTCACATCACCAGCCGAAGAACCTACACTCAGCCTCAAAAAGTTAACCAGACACTTTCTATAATTCCCCAAAGCCTGCCCATCTCCGTAGTTCATCCCAGCCTCACTCCCCCAAACCCCACACAGCCAAACACCTCGGCACCAAAATAGCAACCCGACCTCTTTGAGCCCCAATCTTTCTCCCCTTCCTCCTCGGCAAATTTCATGCGGAACACGCGACCCGGGACATGTCACCGTTTCAAAACATCGGGCCATTATAAAAATCGGGGAAGCAAGCCTCACTGAAAGAACCAACAAATCACTGGGAATAAAAATCTTCTAGAATTCCTGTTTCTACAAGTGTGAGTCTTGTCGGTAGCAAAGCAAGAGACGTGGAAAAAAGAAAAGTGAGGTATCAAACACAGCGAGGATAAAAAAAGCACACGCCCTCAAAAAAAGGGGTTCGCGCAAACCCAATTCATACCAACCTTGACTCATCTCAACCTGCCCAGAGTAAAAAGCTCAGGGTAGGGGTCCGTAAACTCCGTGCTCAAACCAAATAACCAGCTGTCGCCGGCGCAAACTTCTCTGAAACGCTTCCGCGTCTGCTTTCGCAACCCGAACCGCAACAAGTCCTACTCCCCATCCGAACGGCCATTATGATGACAGCAGTACTGCCCAAATCGCAGCGCACCCTGACGGGCTAGGATCAGCCAGTAACCCTCCTCACCCAGAGCGTCGTCGGCTCGTACTCCGCATTACGATCCATCCTCTTGTAGGCGCGATGCAGCTTGAGGCCTATTTCGTACTCCTCGCGCTGGACCTCTGCCAGCTCAACCTTGAGAGCCTCGACCTTGCGCTTCTCCGCCTCGCGCTTGCGTAGCACGGCTTCGCTGGCCAGGATGCTGTCGGTCGGCATGAGCTCCGTCATTTGCTTGATGGCCTGGTTGATGTTGATGCGGCGGTTGCCAAGTGACTCGAGACGGGCGTTGAGGTAGCCTACACGATCGTTGACCATGGAGGTCTCGGTCGGCGGCGGCGGAAGGGCCTTGCTAGTGGACCAAACCGACTCGGGTCGACTGGACGTGCTGTACATACTTGCGTTACTAGCGCGCGGTATCGGCTGCTTCTGGCTGGGGAGTTCTGATCGTGCAGGAGCGGGCAGGTCGTTGTCGGGGAAGGCGCTGGACATGTAAGGGGAGGACATGGAAATAACGAATGGCTTGTCCGCGTTGATGGCGTTGCTCGTGGATCCAAGAACAGCCGGACGCTTGCGGTTCATGACACCGTTCTGCTGCTGGGGCGAAGGGAGCGCGGGGACCGGCGGAGGCGCGGTATCTGTCGACTGGCGAGGGGTTTGGTCCGCCGCGGAAGTGGCATAGGTGGTGACGCTGAACCGCGACGGGGGCTGGTCCCAAGGCTCGTTGGCCTTGAGGGCTTCACCGGGTGATCTCGGTGCGCGAGGCGGCGATCGCTCGTGGGTGCTGACGGGCGGGACGGTGGTAGCCACAGAGTAGACGCTCGAGGAGTATGACGGTTGCGGTGCGTGAAGCGCTTGCGAGTTGGCAGGAGGGGGCTTCCGTCGAATGGCCTTGTCTTGGCCGAGATGTGCATTAGGGGCAGCGGGCAGGCCCGGCAGGGGTGCAGGCTGTCGGGTCGTGACAGGCGGACTGCTAGTGGCTTCGGGCGTCGCAAGTACGGGGGACTGGACGCCAGCACTGGCCGAGTTGGGCGGGCTGGGATAGGAGGACTGAGCGGGCGGAGGGGTTCGAGTGGCCGAGGGGGAGGGCGCGTTGGTGCCTGCAGTAAGCTGGCGGGGGGCGTTGAGCACAGTTCTGACGGTGGGCGTCCTCGACCGCGGCGACGTTTCAGATCCAGAGGGGCTAACAGGGGAGAGTGGTGAAGAGACGCCGGCGATGGGCAGCCGAGGCCCAACGGCGATGCGTCTGCTGCTCCTGCGCGGGATGCTAAGAGGCTCCTTGGGCTCCGTGTCGCGAACTGGGTTGACGATTGCAGTTCGTCCGCTTTGATGAGCGCCGCGCCAGGGCGGACGCTCGTCGATGGACACGGGCGCAGTTGCAGTGGCAGATGGACGTTCGTCTGGCTGCTGCTGGTCCTTTGGATGGTCCTTTGGGTTCCCGGCGCCGACGGGCCGCAGCCTGCGCAGGCGATCGGTGAAGGTCTCCTGCGGCTGGGGGGCATTCTGCATGGCCCTCATGGCGGCGGGTGACTTGCCAAATGGCGTCGGATGGGTGAGTCCCTGGGCATACTCCTGTGGTCTGACCTGGCCCGCACGGCCCGTGTCGAGGTACGTGGGTTCGCCCGTCATGTCATCCCACTTGGTCTCGCGCTGGATCCGCAGGCGCTGCTGGGATTTGGTCTCTCGCAGGGTGTGGGCTGCGGCGTCCTGGTTCTTTCTGCGCTCGCGACGCATCATGGGGATGTTGCTCTTTGGGGGCGTGGGCTGCTGGCCCGTATGCTGGTCTTCGAGAGCGAGTTGCGACATGTTTGGCGAGTCTTCTATGGGAGAGACACTTCGGTCCTGGGTGGAGGTTCTGAAGCAGAGACACATGGTTAGTCCCGGGCTGGCGCTGATTCACAGTCCAAAACCCACGTGGGGGAGAAACAAAAAAGCTAGAGTCAAGGATTGTGTCGGACGAAGATTAGACTCACCCGTCACCGCGAGCATCCAAGTCAGGAGAGCTCGGGGGAGAAATGTCCGCGACGGCGGAGGAATAGGTATTACGGGCAGCCACGTTTGCAAAATTGGGCGTGACGGGGGAGGCGTAGGAGTCGCGGTTGAGCGAGTAGATGGAGGAAGCAGGCCGCCAGGAGCCGGAGGGGTCGCTGCCGTCGTTTTCGATGCGAGCGAGACTCGGGGGAGGAAGCAATTCGTCGAGATTGCTGCGGGAGCGAGGAACGTTAGCCAGTGCTGCTTGTAGAGAGGAGAAGCTGCCGCAGGAGAAGGAAGAGGAAACGGTGTCGAGGTTGCGGGAGAAGTCGCGATGGGCGAGCAGGAGGCGCGACGACGAAGTTGCGGTCGCCATGCTCGTCGTCGCCGTCGTTTTCGCTTGGAGGTTGGAGACGTGACGCGCCGGAAGCTGTAGCGGCCGATACTCTGTTGCTGTCTGGTGAATGCTTCCGGGTTTGGAGCTGGAGCTTGAGCTTGGGCGAAGACGTGGAAGGTGGGGACCTCTTCTTTGGAATCAAGAAGGAGCGACCCGGTCGACGTGGTGGTTGTTGCTGCTTCCTATTTTGCCTTTCGCGTGTTCTTCGTCGTTGCGTCTCGTTTTCTTCTCTTCTCCTCTCCATCTCCTCACCACGGTCCCTTCTCCTACAACATCACGATACACGACAATTTAAAAAAAAAAAAAAAAAGCACTCACTCTCCAGATGGCGTATCGGTCCTCTGTCCAAATCCACGCTTCACCTCGAACTTGGGAGTCGGCGGCGATGGCAGGTTGTGGTCGATGCCCAGTCCGCCTCGGGGGTTGCGCAGGTCTTCGGGCCAGAACTTTTGCTGGTTCGTCGAGGAGTTGAAGCCACCAAGGCCCGGGTCGCGGTTCGAGTTGTTGTAGGGAAAGTTCCTCGGCGGAGCCCCTCGAGGTCCTCCTCTGTTACCTCCGGTGCCGCCTCTCTCGGTGCCGACGCCGCCTTGTCCTTCCTGTCCCCCTCGCAGATGCACCCGGAGATGCTGTGTTTGTTGCGGCTGGTGGCGTTGATTATTGAGGTGCTGCTGCAGGTTGCTGTCGTGGTGTGGCGCAGCGTGTGCTTGTGCCTCGCGAGAAGAAGGCAGTGATGATGCTACACGATCACCAGACAGAGGCTGAGGCTGGGGCTGCAGCTGGGACTGGCGGTAGTGCTGTCCTTTGAGCAGAACCCTCTCGTGCAACTGCGGCGGCGGCGTCAGCTTCTTTTGAGAAGACGAGCCAGGCCTTCCGCTCCCTGGTCCGTATCCATGGCTGCTGGTGGTCCCCGTGTTGCGGCGGCTGCTCATGGAAGGCGTCGAACCCGAACTCGTCCCAGGCCCCATCGCAGCTCCTTCCACTAATTGCAGGCCCGTTATAGCACCCTGCCCCGCCCCCGTCGCCGCCGCCCCTCCACTGTGACCTGACCGCGCGCCCCTGGACCCCTGTCCCGTCGCGCCAACACCACCGCCAACCCCGACCGTTGCTGGCCTCGCCGGATAACGGTCCCACATTGCCTACTGATTGTGGTTAGGTGCCCTCTATTCGTACCAATACTGCCTGAACAGCAACAAGCACCCGGAACCCTCGACAAGCGACCCGTCGATCAGGCAGATGATTTGCCTGCTCCGTCTCGCTAAAACCACCTCTTAATTTCCCTGCCCGATATCACCGTCCCGGTAATTACCTAACTGACTCTCAGCCTGTCTCTTTTCTCGCTGATTTGCGCTTCCGAGGCCGATAACGAAGGGGATGTGGCGTGGCTTTGCTGAATGCGACTCCTTGCGTTGCGTTGCGTTGGTTCGTTGTCGTGACGGGATGTCGACCAACCCTCCCCGAGTCGTCTTCGAAAGAAACACGAAGCAAACAGACCCGAAAGCACCGGCGCAGGCCGAATTAAATACCTTCCCTATCTCTCGCAGAGCAAACATCAGATCAAAGACACCAGAAAAGACCCTCAGACACACGGGAAACACCTACCCTCGGGCCACGGCACGCTTCAAAATCAAATGACAGCCCGCCGTCTGCTCGTCCCTTCTTCGCCTCTGACACGCCTTCGGGGGCCCTGCCCGTACCAGCTCTGTCTGCTCTGCGGTGTGGCGCGCCTCTTTCTGCTTGAGAAACGCGGTTACAAGTGTTCAGTCTGATGTTTCGGATCTTCTCCCGAGGGGGATCTCCCTGGGCGGGGTTGGTTGGAAGACAGGATATGCTTATCGCTCTTCGCACGTGTGTTCTGTGTGTTCTGGTGGCCCCGGTTGCTTTCACTGCTCTCTTTCCCTTTCTTGAATACAGCAACGCGCATGCATGAATCTGTCGAGATTCGTCTTACGGGGTCCGTTTCGTCGCAACTTGTCGCGTGTCTTTTCCCTCTCGACCGAAGGCTCGTGACGGACGCCGGTTGGGCGCGGGCTCTCGGTTCGGGGGTTGTGATAGTGGACTCGGCGGGAAGACCCTTGCCTGACACGCGCGCTTGTCTGTCGATTTCGGAAATGTCGAAGAAAGCTTGATGCTATATCGCCTAATCCGTCACTGTCGTCGTCGTGGGATATAGATATGCGGTCGTGTTCGCGTTCGGCGACGGTTGGGGGTCGTCCGGCGGTTATGGATCAACAAAACCTTGTGGCCCTCGGTATGATGATGCTTTGAGGAAGGATACCAATATTCTGAGGCTGGCTCTATATCGGGACGTCGTGTCTTTTTCTTGACGGTATACTACGTCACAGGTTCGCGTGGGTGTTTCGTGGGTTTTCGGGATGAGTGGATGGTCAAGCACAGGCTGGCTGCGACTTACAAGACCCCAAAATTCGTGAGGTCGGAAAAGAGCAACACCACCAACGAAGAGAATTGAAGAAGGCAAAAAGAGAACCCTTCTTCAGAAGAACAAGAAGAAACAGGAAAAAAGAAACAAAAGGACTCTCAGACTCGAGGGGACGGGGGCGCCAGCAAAAGCAACACCGCAGGGCTTATTAGATCGGTGCTAAGGGTTGCGCGCCTCTGCAATCCAATATCCACATGTGCCCTTCGTTTGCAACACTAAACATCGACGGCCGAGATCACCAGGAACAAAACATGGAAACTACCGCCCGCCCGCCCCCGGAGACGAGAGGGGGTGCGCTGGGGTTCTGGGTGCCGCTGCATCAGGATTTTGCCTCTCCTCCCACATCTCCTCCGCAGCCAATGAGTTCGAGTCCTGCCGTGGTTCCTGCTGCAACATCCGCGGTCTGCCAACAGTCGAGACACAGGGAAGACGGCTGCCCACTGCAGGAGGGCAGGATGATAGGGTCCGTGGGGGCGGAAGAAAGCAGACAGATACTCCAGAATGGGCGGGTGAGCGAGTGAGGTCTCAGCTTCAGACGACGCCATCGCTTCATTGACAGCCCGCCGCCCCTTGGACATGAGTCCCTATTCTTGGCATCAAGACTGCCTACCTATCTACTTACGGACCTGCAGGAGGGAAGCTACCTAAGGTGCCTGCCTACGCGCTGCAGACTGAACTGCACACTGCATGCCGCAGTCAAACAGTTCACCAGTGACACTGCACCAACAGGCCAGGCCCTAAGAGAGTGCGAACTGAGCTGCAGCAAACAAGTCCAGGTGACAGACAGCATACATTCAAACCTGCAACCTGCAGGGTCGAGACACACCCACATCAAGTACACACAGGCACGCAGCTCCAAGGAACGGTAGGTAGGTACTGTGCCATTGCAAATCTCCCGCCCGCCTAGCCCGGACGCGACGCCACTCCACCCGGATGCTTCATTGGCCCACGACCGCTCCGGCGGACGTTGGTCTAGACAGCCGGGACCCAGGCCCCTCTGTGCGCTCTCGCTCTCATCCAGTCAATCTTGTTCTCTGCGGTGTTTCTCCCTCTCGCTTGAGTGTTCAAACCCCATTCTCTGCCAAACAAACAGCTCCTGTGAGAATACAAATCTCATGTTCCACCACCCAACCATCCAAATGGAGTGAATATGCCCAAATGTGTTTCATCGTTTCACGAAAACGGAGCCAACCATCTGAATGGGAACGAAGAATACCTTACTTACCGTCACACTAAACCTCGAACCGTCCTCAGCCCCTCTAATCCCGCAATCACAGCATCGAACGCAGTGCAATCCCCAACAACCGTAAAATGACCCAGGGACCGGTTCCTCCGTTTCACATTGACTGCTCCCGCCAGAACGCTACGCCACCAATTCTTCTGCTCGAAAGCTTCTTCTTCTTCCATCCCCTGTCCTATTGTCTCCTTTCTCAACGTCACATTCACAAGCACTAACCAGTCCCATTGAATACTCCCTCACGTTCAGACCCCCTCCCCATATTTTACCTTTCCATCAGATCAAGCCACAAGACCAAGCTCTCTCTCTGCCTTGCTGCTGCCAGTTGGTGAACTTGTAAAGTGCACGGCTCGCTCCTCGTCAGGGGCACCAAACCACTCAGACCCCCCC